AGCGGCGGCGTTTCTCGTCCCAGGCAGCAGCGCAGCTGCCGATTCGCGTTTACGTAGCGGATTATATGTAGAACGCGTAACGCGCGCACCAGTCGCTTTAGTGGCACTAAAATCTCGGCGAGCCGGCTTAACACACGTTGCGCATCGCGAGCGCGGCTGCGTTTCACACGCACTCTCGCAGGACCCGCCAATTGTTCCGTTAGGTCCCGACCGCCCCCGAGAGCCCGGGCACAATTAAAAACGCGAAGGCACGAATTATTCCCCGTGAGTGCTCGCACCCTCGTGGAAAAGAGAAACGTAAATCACTCGGATTCCCTCTCGCGGCTCGCTCTCCGCTGTTACTACCTCCGTTCGTTACCTTCCTCGCCGTTCGTGCGTTACCTCGCGCGCTGCTGCGAGATTGTAGCGAAATTTCCAGCGAGATCGTCGCCGCGCGTTAAATCGAACGTACATCCGGGCCGGATAAAATGTTTGTCCCGTGAGCGTAAAAGAAGAAAAACACGATGTCGGATGCAGTAATAAATTAATCTGCCGGCTATTGCATATGTAGAGAGAAGAAAAAGAGAAGATGGGGGAAAAAAAGAAGTCCGCTCAAATCGGCAGGCAAAACGCGTTCTTCAGGCGAACCGTGAATAATCAAGTTGGAGCCGCGCTGCTGAGACTCTCGAGCGTTTTCATATTAAGGTAGAAACGAGAATATCGCGCTATCCGCGAATCTTGCTACCTACTCCACACATCGACGCACGCCGGGGCTCTCGCCTCGTCCCCGGCGCGCCTCCCCAAGCAACAATTTCAAAGCTCAATTCAATCGGAATCCTTCTACCCGTTTGTTTTTCAATGTGGTTATTGTCTATCAAATCAGACGGCGGGGGGTATAAATAAAAACAAAGGATTCCTCCCCCAGGCAGCAGGATGCAGCGGGCTACGAATATGAGACCGCACACGCGCATGAGCGCTCATAATTGCTACATAAGAATGCTTTGTGGTGTAAAATAAGAGAAAGAAAAACGAACAAGGACATCGACCATCGTATATTTCACTTATATACTGCGTTAATCCCGCTAAGAGGGGTCGTACGTGAGATGCTGTTCCTTCCTCCCCCCCCTCTCTCTCTCTCTCTCTCTCTCTCTCTCTCTCCGTGAATCAGACACCGTATACATTTTCAATAGACAGATAATTGCTCACGCGACAGATTAACCAGCACTTTTGTAGCTCTCTCGCGTATAATTGGTAAATCAACATCGATTCCATTCAGGAATTTAACGCTTCGCCTGAGCGATGACCTTTTACCAGCGCTTCCACTTTACAATTATTCGTACTGGTTGAAAATCGCGCACATACGGATAAACGGCGGAAAAGTAAGGAGGAGAGGAACGACAGCGGAGGGATTCAACGAGTCTGAAATATCGCGACTATTGCGAGGGACATTTAATTCTCTACTCCGTTGAGCTCGATCTCGCGCTGCCTCGATCGGATATTAATAAATTGATAGTACTGCGAGTATCGAAATGTACATTTCCCGCGTTCTCTTAATCCGTCCAACCGTCGATATATCTTCGCTGCATTTCGACCGACCGACCGACCGAGCAGGCAAGCTGAGAATTCACGAACGGCCGCGACAATAAAATTGTAAAGATACGTAAAGTACATTCCGTTTGTGGCATCAGCGAAATGTCGATCGGTGAAATATTGCCGCGACCGTATGCGAGAATAATTCGCGCGTTGATAATAATAAACATGTTTGCGTAAATTAACAAAGACACATCAAATTACCTCGGGCGAATTATCTGCTCATTAAGCGGATATCATTTCCCGCTTAACATTCCCCGGCCATTAATGATGTATCGATCGCTGCAAGAATATCGTAATTAATCGATCGAACGCGACGTAATAACTCGATTAAATGTACAACGAGACATTGCAAGCTCGGGGCTCTCGTGACAAATCGCGCAGTTTCCTAAGAACGGCTATAAAACCCGCACTGCGACGGGTGATTAAAACGGTATTCTTTAAGCTGCGATCCCTTAATTCGCTCATCTGATTAAGGCGCGAACCGTGAAGACTGAAAGGGACAAAGGTATGAACGTTGCCGAAGACATTTAGTCTTCTCTCTCTCTCTCTCTCTCTCTCTCTCTCTGAACGCTTCCGTATAATCGAATCAATAACGGATGGGTAATTCCCTCCATCGACTGGAACAAATCAGATCAGTCACAAAGTTCCAGCTGTAAAGACACGTGACGACGAAGAATCGTTTATCGTAATCGTAATTTGCGGACGCGATATCGAATACGATCGTGCTCGCGAGTGAGAGTGAGTGAGATATAAGAGAGAGGGAAGGAGAGAGAGAGAGGGAGAGAGAGAGAGAGAGAGAGAGAGAGAAGCAGGAGACTCTCGAGGCTCGTATAAAATCATAGTGTCTCTCCGCTGCCTCTCCACGCAAGCTCGTATCAGAACATCCGGGCTTTCGACAGCCATGAAGAAAATCAGGGATTGACCCGAGGCGGACCTCGGGATCGTAAGAAAGTGCCGTAACGCACTCTCGCCAGGATACATGTTAGGTCGTTCGCGGACCTGGAAGATACTCGGTCAAGCGATTTTTCAAGGTTCGCCTAAGAAACTACCGTCGCCGTCTCGACGGTTCTTGCGATTTCGCCGCAGCGGCCCGCGGAAGAAAATTTCCCAAAGTATCTCTCTCTCTCTCTCTCTCTCTCTCTCTCTCTCTCGCATCTCCCTCATCCCTCTTCGTCGCGGTTAGGTTCAAACTGCCGATTATCGCTGTCGAAGGGGGATATGACGGATGGATTTCTAGAGCGCGGAGAAAAGAAATTGAAAACGCGTATTTTCTCTCCTTAAAATTCACTCACCGATCGGAGGGACGCCTTCGCGCTCGACGGTACTCGAGTGACCGACATAGTACCCTCCCCTCACCACTTCTCCCTTTCACTCAACGTTATTGCACTCAATAGTTGCGGTCCTCGCGGAAATTCCAAGTTCGTGCGAGCCGTGAAACAATACACAAAGCGCGACGGAGAAACGTTGGCGGCGTAAAATACACCGCCGGTACACCTTAGCCCGCAACTTTCCAACGCCGTGTCGTTCGTTGCGGCGAAGCCACCTGCTCGCCATTACAGCATAATTGTAGCTTTTGTGTTTCGAGTGTCCGTAAAATTTCTGAGTGCTTCGCAACCTGCGCGGCGAAACCTCCGTGCGGTTACCAAGCGTGCGAAATAAAGGGTCAGAAGGTTAACCGGCTGCAGCTTTATCTGGCGTCCTTTTATTCCTTCGCGCGTTTGCTTCGTGTCCGGATGAAGGAGAGTCGAGGATTTTCTCTCCTTCATCCGATCTTTAACGCGGCTGAAAATCGTTCGAATCGTGAAATGTTCGTCCATTTGAAATACTTAATACCATTTAATGGTTAGCGGATGATAGAAGACAAAGAGACAGGGAGAAAGAGAAAAGAAGAGAGGAGAGCGGGAACAAGAGGAATCTCCGTATCTATTATTTGGCCGAATATCGTTCGTTTTACGATGCCGCCCCCCGTCCATCTCGCTCCACCCTTTACTGTTTTTTTAATTAAAACACATTCGCTCCCCGATTCGAGCTCGACCGCTCCCTCGCTTCTCGCTCGTCAATCTCGATTATTTCAAACTTCCGCTGTCCTACGGCATTCAGAAAGATATTGCCTCGCGTTGACTCGAAAGCGGTCGCATTTCACTGCTAATCGTCGCGCGCTCCTGTGATTTCACAACGCGAATACGACAAGAGATTGAGCTTTAAAACAAACGCGCTGTAAAGTCACGTGTCGTGCGGGAATCAATCTGTCACGATGGAGAAGATACGAGAGAGAGAGAGAGAGAGAGAGAGAAAGGGGGGGGAACAAGTAAAACGCTCGAAACGAAAATTTCTCTTCTCGTGATTAAAACCAAACGTCCAATAGCTTCATCGGAGCGATTGCGGGGTGGACGATATTGCGCGCGCGTGATATATCGTTTCGTACTATGAAAAATTTCACGACGTATTTCCAGACATATTTCGATAATAAAGTTTACAACGTGTCGTATATATATATATATATATATACACAAGAGCTTCGCGGCACCTTCTTTTTTACGGCGCGTACAAAGTTGCACGGGACGAAATTCCGTCGCGACGATTGAATCAACTTCTTGCGAGCAAGCCTACGGAAGAAATAAATGTCGCGGTATATCTGATCGCAAAAAAGAAAAGGAGAAAAGAAGGGAAAGAAGAGAAAGAAAGGTGCACTCGCGCTCCCACGAGCATTCGGAATCCGCACGTGTAATATGTTGTCTCGAGTGTGGGAGGAGAGAGCCGCGCGACGGACGGCGCGCGGCGGATGCATAAAACGATCACAGCGTGGCGAGTACACAATCCAGCCGAACTTACATGCACAACGCACTCGCGCCTTTTTCATGCCTCTCAACGCGAATCTCGCGTTTTCGCGAGAATCCCATTACAGCCGCGCCATTCGAGCTGGATGTGTCGGCCGGCTTACGCGAAAATCTCGGCCGAGATTGTATCGTGAGAAACATAGATCGAATCTTTATCCTACGCTTCTTCTACGTGTGGCTAACAATGCAAACCCCCCCCCCTCTTCTTCCCCGAAAAGGTAATCGCTTTGCGAGGGCGCCAGGCCAATGACAGCGTAAACGCTGGAAGATGCTAATGCTGTCGCGCGCGCCCCGCCCTCTCCCCCTGGCCCGTTGGGAGAAAAAGAAACATTTTCATCATCCCGCAACTGTGTGTCGCGTGCGTAACGGGAGCGAAGGGATGAGAAAGTTTCATATCCCCTTTGTGTCACATTTACCGCGCTCGTCTCTCTTCTCCGCTCCTCTCCCCTCTCCCAGCCCCTCGCCCAGCCGTCAGACCGTAGACCGTAGGTAATCGTACGCTCGATTCGCTCTAAATGGAAAATACGGCAAAAGTGCAGCGCGCCAAGTAGGAGCGCGCCGATAATTCGTTTGTCGATACACGTGTTTCAGAGGAGATAACCGCCAATCTGCCGCCGTTGCGAGTGCCGCGCTTGCGGCATCACCGTGTCACAGATTGGAATCCGTACTTCGAGAATGCGGATGGCCAGGGTATCAACGGGTCGCAAAGCGTGGCGTTGCACCTCGGCGCGACTGCCCTGCTCGACTGCCGCGTGGCCATGCTCTCCGGCAAGAAGGTACACACACACACACACGCACACACCTGGCGATCAATCATTCACGCTAATATCGGCCGACGAGGACGCGTTGTTAGCTTCTAACGATATCCGCTCTGCGTATTACCACCTGCCGGGAGTAGCCCGGGGGACTTTCCCCGTCTCACTCATGCACGCAATAGCACGCGTAAGATCAAAGCCGCGTGTTCAGTGCGACTAACGATGGCAACGGCTGCCATCAGCAGAGTTACTCGTGCGCGATCGTCAAGCTTGTAAGGACACGCACTCTCGGGCCCGACTATACGTTTCGTTCGATCCCACCGTCACCGATTCCGACGTCAGTTCCGCCCGCGACTGTTCTCAGTCGGCGTCATGCACACCTCGCTGTTCCCATCGGCCGAGTCCCGGCACGCTGCCGCTTTTCAGCCTAACGCGTGTACGTGTTAAGATCCGAGGTCGCACAAGTGCACTGGTAAATGGTGTAATGGTAAATGGTATAATGGTAAATGGCGTACACGGCGCGCGCATTCATAGAGCGCGAGCGGCAGACTAAGACGCGGGTATTTTCGCACAGGTCATGTGGCTGCGACGGAACGCCGACTGGGCGTCCCTCCTGACTCTCGACAACACCACTCACACCTCGGACTCGAGGTACAGCGTGAGATTCCAGTACCCGAACAACTGGAGACTGGCCATCTCCGGCGTGCGGAGGGAGGATCATGGGGTGTACGTCTGCCAGGTCAACACGCACCCGCCGCGGATGTTGGTTACGAACGTCACCGTTCTCGGTAATGCCGGATTTTTTACGACACGGGACGGAGGAAAAGGGACAGAGAATGAATGGACAGAGAACGAAGCGCGGGTGGGATAATCGTGCGTTTCTCTCGCCCGATATCGCAAAGTTCTATCCGGTCGTGTGATGAAACCAAGTTCTTCGCTCGGTCCGCGCTTGTCCGACCAGTTTGATTGCTCTCGTCACCGTGCGGCTCGTTGCGCGCTTTCTTCCGTACGTTCGACCACCATCCAGCTTCATGAGCCGCGGCTTATGTCAAAAAAGGAAGTCGCGCTCGTTTGCTGAGAGCGCCGCTCGCTCGCGAAATATCTGACGATACGCTACGTAGTCGTGTAACGAGAAATAAACATTTGCGGATGTTATCGCGGACAGTGCGGTATGTATTACCCCGACGGGGTTGCGAGAGCGCGAGAGAGATGCAGTGCGACGATGCGGAGCATTAGTCAACGAGGAGCGTGGCGAAATTAGAACCCCGGGGGCCGAATAAATAACGCCACGTTTGAGTAATTAGTTCGTGAAGCGTCCCGACAAATGTTCCCGATCGTATCTGACGACTTATTAATCGTCACGCCAACTTGATAATTCACCCATTCGTTACGCGTACCCGCTCGATAATTTCTTTCATTAACTCGCTACTCGTAGGTCTCTCTCATTCTACCTCTCTCTCTCTCGTACGTCGCGTGTCCGCTCGACGTAATCGGGACATCTCACACGCGCGCGCGCGCGCGCGTGTGTGTGTCACCTTTTATACGAGCGGAATGGAATTCAATCGCAAAATCCGCAGAATCACAGAATCCGGCTCATCCCCCATAAAGTAGCGGCCCGGTCAGCGTGATGTATTTTTCTTTCCTCCCTCACGTAACTCAGATCTACGTGTTTCACGCGTACGTGTTTTAGACGACCCCGTTGGGGGCTTGTTTTCGAGCCGATTGCGGGGTGTTTATGTAACCCGGCGGCGTCGTGGCGCCGCGGCATATACGCACGCACGCACGCACGCACGCACGCATCTCATTTTCCATCTTCGTTCGCAACCCCGCGCGCGCGCACGCCCATTGCGAATCGCGCGCGCGCGCGCGCCTCGAGCCGGGGAACAGCCGCGAATTTAAATTCCGTCCTCGCTACGATTCAATTACTGCAAGAAAATCTTGCGGCGTCTCTCCCCCTCGCTCTAGCGAAAACAAGTCAGCCGCAGTTGCGTCACGTAGCGGCGGCGCTACAAGACGGAACTTTATTTCACCTGACTTACCTCGCGCGTCAACGAATACAGCCGTACGCGCCAATATTGCAGCGCGCGCGCGCGCGCGCGCTCGCTCGTTCGCTTGCGCTCCCGCTAACTTCACGGCGGAAACTGTTCTCTTATACCGGCTTAATTACGAATGTCGACTACGTAAACGCGTGCGCACGCGCGCACACGAGAGAGAGAGAGAGAGAGAGAGAGAGAGAGAGAGAGAGGGAGAGAGAGAAGGAAGAGACGAAGAGAAAGAGAGCGGCTGTGAAGCAACGTCCCGGTCGAAAATTCGCGCTGCGTGGCGTTGGTCGTCGAGATTTACGGGATTTGATACAACCCCCGCCCCTCCACCGCCGCCCCCCGGAAGCTGGCTTTCCCAGATTTTGCGCGATCAATGTACGTGTTTTACTTTCGTTAATTAAACTGCATTCTACCGATTCACGTTCGGGCGTGGCACGAGAGTTATGCTATAAAGAACGAAAGAGAGAGAGAGAGAGAGAGAGAGAAAGCAACATGTATGACACGCAGGAAGAAACCCAAAGAGTAGAGACGCTAGTAAACGAGGGCGAGACATATGTCTCGTCGTCGGGGGACCACCGACCCGATACTGTCCATACGGCGCACGTTTGTGATTTTACAGCGCCGGATATTAGAATCGTCGACGAGGCCAGGCACGAGCTGCGGGACCGATACTACAAGACCGGAAGCGGTATCGAGCTATCGTGCGTTGTCCGGCCATCCTGCCCCGACTCGAGGGTACCGTATCCCGTCTGGCGGAAAAATGGTGAGATGTTGCCGGATCACGTCAACGTTTATCACGTTAATGGGTGAGCATAAATCGTAAGCGGCGATGGATCGAAGAGAGCTTCCCGAGATGGATGCATACAGCCCGGCGATCTGCATGCGCGCAAGCATACATGTGTGTGCGTGTGTGTGTGTCTGTGTGTCCTGTGTGTAGACGTTGTCTACACACATGAGAGCACGGGGCGACAAGCCGCCGCTCTTATTCCTCCGCGGAGCGCAACGCGAAGCGGCATTACCGCGTCGAAGCCCGCAGGCTGTGCGCGTTGACGAGCCTCGATAACGCTTCGCGGAATGCACTTGCCGCGATCGATTTTTCTCGAGACGCCGCGGCGCGCACACATATGCACACACACTCGCGCGCACGATCGAGCATTTATCTTTCTTTCCGGCGGAACTGCGAGAGCGCGCGCGGTGAAAGAGACGCGCGCTCCGCGTGTCGTCGTGTTCGCGCGCGGCTCGAGGCGCCGCGCCGCGCCGTCGCGAGTCGCGCGCGCCGCCGTTCGGCGATCGTCCCTCCGCCTCTCCGAGGAACGCCCGTCGAGATTGTCGCTGCGATAAAATTGCCATCACGAGCGATTTTTCATTCGACCTCCGCGTGTCGACCGATTCGCTTAGTCGGACTACTCGGCGAGGATGCGTTCCTTTTGCTCGCTTTCAAACTTCTTCTCCCCTGCGAGCCCTGGGAGACAGCGACGAAACACAGCCAGCCGCACGAAGATTACGTATTCTAACGCGCGGTTGTGTATTCCGTTATGGTAAAATGCGATACACCGCGGAAGGCCGACACGCGCGAAAGAACGCCGCTGTCTCGCGCGACAACATTGCGTAATCCAGCGGCCGTTTTTTTTTTTCTTTGTTGCAGATCGAACGAGAACATGATTACAAAGCTGCACATCGAGCGAGCGAAAAAGACTGACAGCGGGGAGTATACGTGCTCAGTGAGCCAATTCAGCACGACCGCGGTGCACATTCACGTCCTAAATGGTAAATTAAATAAAAAATCGCCCAACGGGGAATCAGCGTGGATAAATGGCGTTATGTACGCCGTCGCCGCGGCCCGACGGACGGGGAATATGTATTGTTCGCAAAATTCGTCACTCGCATCATTCCGCCATCTGCTCCCTCCTCGCGTCGGCGGCTTTGGACGACGGATCCTGCGATCCGACCCGGCTACTCGTCGATTTTGCGCGATTTTGTGCGTGCACGTGTGCCTCTCTAAAAATGTAATATCGACCTTCTTTCCCTCTTTCTTATTTTGCCCTCCTTTGTCTCGCCGCTGGTAAAATTGCTCGAATTCCGACGCGAATAGCAGATCGTTCAAAGCGAAGCCCTCCGCGACGCGTCGCAGTGCTGCACGTAGTTTCCGCGTGTGTGAGAGGATGCACGATGAATCTCGTGGCTCCCGAGTGTCTCTGAATTGTCGTCGCAACTAAATCTTCGTTCGTTTCGCCTTGCAGGTGAGAAGCAAGCCGCGGTTCATCACGATCAATGGAACGCAGCGCGCGCCGTCAATCATCACGCGGCTTTCGTCGAGTTTTACGCAGTGTTCGTCAACCTCCTGCTTCACCTGTGGCGAACTTATCAGCCCCTGTGAAAAGTTATTTTTTCAATGTCGGACGCGAGCGCGCGTCGCGCTCATCGAGCTTGAGCTTGAGATTCCCGGCGATGTTCTTATCGATATCCTCCGTGCGCCAACATGCTTCGAAGCGATCCCAGCGAGATACGAGTTCTTCAGTCATTCGCTCCTTCGTCCCCTCTCATCATCGTACACGACGGCATTACTACACAGCCACACAAGCTGTGAACGTTGAATGATTCTGTGTCAGTATTAAAAAACGCTATAAATAAACTGAGCATCGATGTTCAAATAAATATCGTACTTGTCCCTCATCGGCTCGTCTCTTTTCTCCGGCGTCTAACCCTCTCTCTGTGTGATCGACGAACGCTCTTTCGGACGACTTTCAATAAAACGACATTTCGATAGCACTGCAAGTTGCCGCGCGTTCCGGCGGCAAAGCGTCACGGCGCAAAGCGAGAGCTTGCCTTTACCGACCGATGTACACGAAGCTCGCGGAAAGCTGCGAATGGTCCCGCAAGTTCCCCATCACCATACCGCGATACGTATACCAGTAGTAGAGAATGATTCTACGCGAATATCTTGGCGACTCCAGCCGAAATTCCCGTTTTATCCAGTTTCGGCAAAACACGAGCGTTACGGTTATCCTCAGAGATTTTTTAACGAACAAAGGACTTGGCTGTACCGGGCGAGAGACGGAGCTTCGGCGACACTTCCGCGGAGGAAAATGATCACAGAATCATCGTCGACACATTCGCGTGACATTTCATGTACGACGACATTAACAATGTCGCATTAAGAAGGCGTTATCACATTTCGGAGCGGTGCCTTTTTATATTGAAGGATCGCCCGAAGAAACTTGGGCGATATGATAAAAGTCTTGTTGCGGCGAGGAACAAAGTTTGGCCGAGTGGCTTGTTAAAAAGTTAATACCGCGTTAAAAGTTCCGCACAGCTTGGTATCCATCATCATCAATATTATAAATAGCGGAGTGCGCGCCCCGTAAAATCTGTCTATCAAGTTACCGGGAGAGTACGTCGGCCGGCGCGAGTCGGACGCGTCTAAATTAGATGCGCATGCATCTCGACGTTACATTACCGTAACTCCGCTGCGGGTGTGCGGCGCGTGCATACTCACCCATACACACGCACACACACACACACGCACGCACACAGGTACCATACTTCTTTGTTAGCGGCTGTAATCCGCCGCGAGAGCGGCGGCTCTCCGTGCAAAACATCCGACAAGTAAGTTATGGAAGTTCTTTGTAGTTAGGCATAGAATGAACAGGTGTCTTGCGCAGAAACTTAAAGGCTCGCCACACCGACCGCAAACTCCCGCGAAATTTATACGATTGCAAAACAAACGGCGACCTCCACGAGCGATTAACGCGCGCGTCGTCTCGCGCCGCGTCGTCCGTCGCTCCGCGCACTCTTCGGAGGCTGCTAGATTTCGCCGAGATCGACATTTTCCTCGACTCGACATCTCCGCGGGGAATCCGGCGGGATGACCTGAGCTTCGCGTCATTAACAGTACGAGAAATCAGACTCTTCGCTGCGAACGAACGCTCTATTAACGGGCTGTTAGAGATAAGCGCGACGGCGCGCGCGCGCGCACTGTGCACGCGCCAAGCAACTATCGAAGTTGCAGTTGTTGCACTGCGCCATTGTGCTCGATGAGGATCTCATTGATAATCCACGCGATTGTGCGCCGGCAATCCGCCGCCCGACGACGATGTCGTACGCGTGTCGCGATCGCACAACGGACTCTCTCTCTCTCTCTCCCTCTCTCTCTCTCTCTCTCTCTCGGCGACTTCTCTTAGCAGGAAACAACGGTTTCGTGCGAGTCCGCTCTCGTTTGCTCAATAGAGCACGTCTAGGATGTGCGGCTACGACACGGAATCCATGTCGTGGCACCGACGCGGCGCGTCGCGAAGACCCCCGCCCGGTTCGTCGCGTCGTCTCTTCCGACTCGGCGAAATTTTGCGGTGCATTAAGCAACGAACGTATCGATCTAAGGTACGGCGCGATGAGAGGCGACCACCGAGAGCCACATCTCTCTGCTCCCGACCATGTTTTCAGCCTTTTAGCCTTAATGGCGCCTTTCAGATCCACTTAAAAGAATATTTATAAAATATGATGGGCGCGGCTGAAAAGTTGGACGCTACCAAGCGGGGGGAGAGGGAGGGCGCTGAGAGGGGAGGAGGCACGAAGTCGAATGGAAGAGCGGACATGGCCGCGGTGCGACGCGACGACGACACCTATAAGCCAGCTTCGTCAAAGTTTATCGGAGAATTTATCGCGACGACGACGCGAGGTGGGATACAAACTTTTATAACGACATATAAATCGCTAGTCATCGTCCTCGTCGTCGTCGTCGTTGATCGATCGATCGTACCGTCGATGGCTTCCTCGCGGCTCATGAATATTTTTAGCGACATACAACCTCCGCGAAGAAGGGGCGTGCGTTTCAGTACGTCCAAGTTATCCGCCTATCGAAATGCATTGTTATAGGCATTACATTGGGCTAGTGACGCATCAACGGCGCTCATGGATTTTCGCCGAACGCGATCGATCCCGTCAAAGCGACAGACAAAGAGAGAGAGAGAGAGAGAGAGAGAGAGAGAGAGAGAGAGAGAGAGAGAGAGAGAGAGATAGAGAGAGAGAGATTCGCCGCGAAGTGCTCTTAGTACAGCCCTGTGAATCAAAGCTCGATAGTGCTCGATAGTGCTCGATTAGTGTCCGCTTTGTTGACAAGAAAATTATTATCTATTCATTTATTTGTTTATTTAGTTATTCATTTATTTACCGGGGATTGCCCATTAGTGTACAAAAATATTATACCATTATAGAGAATCGATAATATGACAATAAAAATGTTACGTAAAAATGTTACGTAAAAAAAGCAGAAGAGAATGTCGTATAATCATGTTATTATGGGATCAATATTTGATAATAAATTGGGCCGAGTCGGGCATTATTGAGCTTTGATTTGTAGGTTTTTAGTCATCGTGGAAATCGACAGCGCGAGGGATCGCGCGATAAAAGAAAATGTACCGGTGGACACGGGCGATCGCATTCAAATAGTCGTCGGGGGGCTTCTTCCGATCCGTCTCCTTAGAGCCTCGCGATACGACGATTTTCGCGGTCGCGGAAGAAGATCCACGGCGTATGATCCGGGAGAAGCGATCCTGGAGGGTGTGAATCGTCTCTCGTAATCGAATCGTTAGCTGTGAATCGCGCCAGGTTGCCAGGGTTATCGATTCGCCGCGCAAAGTGGTTCGATGGCAACGTATTACCGCTGGTTACCGCCCGCAACGAACGGATGCGGTAAAGTAGAAGGTGAGGGTGAGCAATTATACGGATTAGGACAAATACATTGACACCAAACTTTTCGCCGAGCTCGTCCGCATCCGAAATGCACGTCCGGTAATTAAATTCCGCCGATCAATAGACGAACAATCTAATCGGCAGGAAGGAAGGAAGGAAGGAAGGAAGGAAGGAAGGAAGGAAAGAAGAAAGGAGAAGTAGAGAGGGAAAAAGGAAGAGAGAGAGAGAGGCAAGAAGGATTCATGGAGACGATTCTTTCGAGTCTGAAGATAAAACCGATGTGAGCATATCTAAAATTACTCTTCGTCGCCTCCGCCCGCGTCCAGAGAAGAATGGCTACTGGCAACGATGAATCTATCGGCAACGAAAAATCTGCCCCGCCGTGTTCCCTCCTGGCTGAATGTTTGCGCTGACAACTCAAGCGCGACGATTAGACGCAAAGTTATTGATCGCGAGCGTTCGTCCGCTCGTTCGACGCTATTAAGTCGATAGAGTCTATAGAACAGATACCGCGGATAATCTAATTATTTCTCTCGGGCTCGCGATCGTGCTCTCGCTCTAATCGACGTGTGTGGGAGAGCCGCGACTACGCAGGGTTATATACGCGTGCGATTACACGCGGAATTGCACTGGGCAAATGTTTTCTCTGCTAAATTTACCCCCGACGCTCTCTGGCGACTTACCCCTTCGGTAAATTACTTGTCAACGCGACGTCTGTATCTGTCGAGTAGATGTACCATTCCCGCCGTTGCTCTCGCAAACTACCCCCATTTTCTGTAAATTATTCTTCGATGCACCGGGATTAGTACAATACGACCGGTTGAAATACATTTCAATGCCGGCAGACAGTTTTAATCGCTGCCTTTCATCGAGTCTCAGCTCCTTCTCTCCTCTCTCTCTCTCTCTCTCTCTCTCTCTCTCTCTCTCTCTCTCTCTCTCTCTCTCTCTCTCTTCTCTCTCTACAGAGTAAACTCATGGGACCGAAGCCCCGAGCATCCGACCTCCATAGCGTTCTTCATAGCGATGGTTTATTCGCGTTCCTTAGCCGTTGATGAGAATGTCTTTCAACGCGGAGAACGCGGAACATTGTAATATCGTTGTCGTAAGAACGACACAAAAAATTACAAAACGAGAGAGTTAATACATACCGCGCGATATCGTCGCAAAATAGTTTCCTTTCCCATGGAATCTAAATAGGTAATAAAAACTTAAAAAACAAAACAGAGAGGGAGAGAGCGAGAAGAGAAAGACGTGTCTCATTTCGATCACGAAATCACGCGAGACGCGACTCAAGATTCGCTTGGCTGCCGATTTCACGTGAAGAGGAGCACGTTCGGCCAGCCGGCCGCGCGCTGCGCCGTTCTTCTCCTTACGCTGCCTCTATTATTAAATTCCTCGACCGTTTACATCGACGGCCAGCACATTTTGCAGGTAATCCACGGCGGAGCCGCAATTATTATATTACAAATATACGGCTCGGCCGGCGGACCGTTTGCACGAGGTAACGACTGCGTCCCTTTCCGGCGCGGCGTCGTAATTGCATGCACGGACCGCATTGCGATTTAATACATACACAACGGATGAATATCTCCCCGGTACACACACACACACACACACACACTACGGCGGCTCGAGAGTATGTAGGCGATGCAATCGTAAATAACCGCGCCTTCTCGCCCGCGTATAATTGTCTCGTCCGCGTGCGCGGCGCGTCAATTCGCCGCGCGAATTGTCGCGCTCACGTCGGTCGCGCGCGCTCTTTCGCGACGGCCTGATGAATCCTCACAAAGAGAAGGGAGACGGAAATCTATCTCGTCCTCGGCCGCCGCCGCGCGCGCGCTATTTAACGAGATAAGTTGACACAGCGAGCCCGCTTAGTTGCGTTCGATTTAGATTTATTGCAGGTTTCGCTTATAAATCGCTACGACGGTGAACGCCATTTACCTCCTGCTTCTTTCCCTGCCCCTCCGCCGTAATCT